TAAAGTTTTAAAATAGTTATATTAAGGTACTTGTTCTCAAGTAAAGATTCATTTTGGGTTACTTGATGAAGAGACCTCATGCACATGTTTGTGTTGGCGTCTGTTAACTTTTCTATTTTGGAGATGAAGTTTCTTTATACTTCTTTGTAAACTTCATTATTCATAAGCATATATACTACATTTAAGGCTGAAACATGTTGACTACAAATTAACTTTGTCAATAAATTGATTCACCTGTATTGTTCTTCTGTTATCATACAATCAACTATACAATTTATAGACTCGCATATTCATTATGTTGTACTCAAAACAAACAAAAGACAGCTAAAAACGACTAACACATTAACTATCCATAAGACTCCGACTACTACATTACTATCTATAAGATTCCAACGGCTAATACATTAACTACCCATAAGACTCCAATGTTAATACATTTAAGTTTATTCCAAACCCAACAAAACACTTATATAGTATGAAACTTGATCTTATTGAATGAAAACTATCTTTTCTGATTAAGGAATTAACCATGCTGTTTTGAAATCTTAGTTTTACTCAGTGTGAGTATTAGTCTAAAGAAATTTACCCTTTTAAAGTGGAAAACAGCTTTTAAGCGAGTATTAGTGATATGATATTTTTAAGTGATTATACTTAAAATCACTTATTCTTCTGACAAACTGATTTCTCATATATGTAGATGTCATTTGGAATGACACACCAGCAGGCACTAGCCCAAGTTTCAGTGCAGGCTTCACAAGCTAACTCAAACATGCATATTCAGGCTGAACATTCATTGCCTGTATCAGTATCATCACCTACCTCATTCACACAGGTTCCTGCAGCTACTTCCAATGCTACACAACCGCTGATTCCACCCTTAACTGCAAATTCTTGGGCCACAATGACAGAATCCACTGATCATTCTCACTCTGAACAAAAGTTGCAATCTTCATCACTCAATGTTGATAAGCCTGCAGATGATGGATACAACTGGAGGAAGTATGGACAGAAACAGGTGAAGGGTAGTGAATTTCCTCGAAGTTATTAAAAATGCACACATCCACATTGTCCTGTCAAGAAAAAAGTTGAGCGTTCACTTGAGGGTCATGTTACTGCAATTATTTATAAAGGAGAACACAATCATCAACGTCCTCATCCTAACAAACGCTCAAAAGATTCTGTGCCTTCAAATGAACATTCAAATATGCAAGGGAATGCTTCTGCTTATCAAGGGATGACTAAAATGGATCCAGAGTCAAGTCAGGCAACAACTGATCATCTATCAGGAAGTGACAGTGAGGAAGTAGGTGATCATGAAGCTGAAGATGATGAGAAAAATGTTGAGCCTGACCCAAAGAGGAGGTAAGCTTTTATTTATGAAATCCTTTTCTTGTAGGTAAATTGCTTATTGTGAGTTAGAAAAGAAGGAAAATGGGTGCAAACTTCACCTTATAAGTTGGTTTTGTAGAATTAAGTTAAATTTAAAGTCCACTTCTTAACAGAAAACTTAGTTACAATTTACAAACAAGTAGAGTAATTAACTTGTTAGCTGTAGAAATTAATTAGATATAAATATGGTGAATTAAAGGAAAAATGTTTATTCTATTTGATTATAATTTGTGGATTGAGATTTTGCTCTTTGGTAGAGGAAAAATCCTTTGTGTTGGTGAAAGGTCTCTATCCTAATATTCTCAGCAAAATTTCTCTTTTCTTTTTGACATTTATCCTTGGTAACATCAGTTGTCTTTTCTGATCTTGAAAGTGTTGTAATTATGCAGTAAAACAGAAGCCACAAATTTGGATCCTGCATCTTCACATAGGACAGTCACTGAGCCTAGAATCATTGTGCAAACAACCAGTGAAGTTGATCTTTTAGATGATGGTTACAGATGGCGAAAATATGGGCAGAAAGTTGTCAAAGGAAACCCTTATCCGAGGTGCTATTGCATCTCCTCCATACTTTGTTGCATTCATCGAACTATTCATGACTGTTAAACAAGTTAAAAAATTATCCATCAAAGGAAAATGCTCAATTTTTCCAATTATATTCACTGCATCACATCATATTGACCTCATCATTAAGCTTGTCTAGTCTAATGCTGAATCTAGCATATATCATGTGTAGGAGCTATTACAAATGTACAACACCAGGTTGTAAAGTCCGAAAGCATGTTGAGAGGGCTTCAACAGATCCTAAAGCTGTCATAACAACATATGAAGGAAAACACAATCATGATGTTCCAGCTGCTAAGACCAGCAGCCATGTTATGGCAAGTAACAACACTGCACAGATAAAATCACAGAATTCCAATCATGGAAAACAAAGTATTGGCAGCAGAGATATTGGAGGCAATGAGCAACAGCCGGTTGCACGGCTAAGGTTGAAGGAAGAGCAGATAACCTAGTGTGTGCTGTAAGAACTTGCTTCTATTTAGGAAAAGTGTGTATCACTCAAAAAATCATCTTTGTTTTCATGCTCATTGCATTCTTTTTAAGTCTTAGGCCTAAGTTTTGATCATGGCCTATCAGTGCAATCCCTAATAAACAAATGGTTCAACACTTTTCTCTTCCAGTCTTCTCCCACAACCACATCATGATGAAAGAGGTAAGGACAAAAAACAAAGGGTTTATTTGCACAGTGAAAACAGGTTTTGGATGATTATGTACTATTTGTATCATTTGTGTACATTGAAAATTTATGTTATGTTGTTTAATATAGCTGGTCATCATTTCATAGTGTAATCCTTGTTATTTAATATTTGTTTTTTCAAGAATGTGAAATTTTTGGACCATGATGAGGTAAGTGTAAGCTAGTAAAGATTGAGATTATGATTATGATTGCTTTGATTTGGTTCATGCAAGGTTGTGGTCGTACTGGTATAGTCAGTGAAGTGATTTGTTGGCAGTGGGTTTGGATATGAATATGAGAGATGAAAGAGATTAAAATCTAACCTACAAAAAAAATCCCAGCAAATAAGTACCCACCACCCCATGTAACCTACAAATACTAAATTTGCCATTAGCTAATCTAATGCAATTAACACATGGGACCACATTACTCAATTAAGTTAAAAATAAATATAAAAAAAAATAAATTATCAATTTAAATATAGAATTAAATTACTAATTACGTTTTTTTTAATTTTTAATTGGGTTTGCATTTTTGTTTTGATTGATATTTTGGTGACGCAAAAAATTTAATAAGTGTAAACAAGGTAGGTTCTTAGAAAAATAAAGAGTAAACAATTTTTTTACTCTTTCACATTTAATGTCAAAAGGTTATAGAAATAAACCAGAATTGATATATAATAAGTATGACTTATCATAGAAATAAACCAGAAAAAAGGTTATATAATAAGTATGACTTATAAGATTGATATTGCAAAAACGAACAAATCTATCACACATATTAGGCATCAAAATTTTAGTTTATGATTGTTTTTGGAAAGTAATTTGACAGACTTCTCACAAGTTGAACAGCAGAACAAAAGTTGGATTATCAGCAAATCTGTTTTATTTTTCAAGCTAAAACATTATATTTTAAAGAAACAAATACGAATACATATATATCACTTACGTAAGTTAATTTTAATTTAAAAAAGCTATTTTCACATTTAAAAATATCAATAAAAAAAAGTTCTTTCAGCATAACAAGTCAAAATAATTGGTTCTCATATGTTTACCCCACTCCTCCCCATCACTATATAGTTGGTAAACCTTTATTCAAAAAAACTATTATTTAACATTAATAGACTATTTAAACAGCAATGAAATATTAATAGAATTTGTTTACCGATAAAATATATTTTAAATTATTTAGAAAATTTTCAAATTCAGTTTTCGTAATCTAAATTTGGTGCTTGTTTAAATTAGAAATATTTCTCTCTAAAGGTGATTATAATTAACATTTAATGATGCTCAGATATTTCTAAAATTAAGGTAATATTTTGAGAAAATTATAACTGAATTTAGAAAGTTGTACAGAGATTAAAAACTATCATTTACTAGTTGTTTAAATAATTGATAACTAACTAGTTAATTAATCATATATAAAGACGACATACACACTCTGAAAGATTTATAATGTTTAAGTTTAGTATTAAAGAACAAAAGTACGGATTTTGGCAATCTCCTCGAATAAATTTATAATTTTGTAATTTCAAATACTAAATTTTATACTTATTTTATCATCATTATAGTGTGTCAAGGGTTACTATATTTATCATGATTATATTATGTCTAGGATTATCCTATTTATCATGATTATATTGTGATATTTATCTTATTTTATCATCATTATAGTGTGTTAAGGGTTATCCTATTTATCATGATTATATTATGTCTAGGATTACCCTATTTATCATGATTATATTGTGATATTTATCTTATTTTATCATCATTATAGTGTGTCAGGGGTTACCTATTTATCATGATTATATTATGTCTAGGATTACCCTATTTATCATGATTATATTGTGTCTAAGGTTACCCTATTTATCATGTACTTGTGTATCAATTTATTCTTATAAATAGAAGATTGTGAGAGGGATCAATCAAGCCCTCTAGAATTATTTATCATCATTATAGTGTGTCAAGGGTTATCCTATTTATCATGATTATATTATGTCTAGGATTACCCTATTTATCATGATTATATTGTGTCTAAGGTTATCCTATTTATCATGTACTTGTGTATCAATTTATTCTTATAAATAGAAGATTGTGAGAGGGATCAATCAAGCCCTCTAGAATTATTTTACAGTTTCAATCTTAAGTTGGTATCAGAGCGGGACCCGCTCTGGTTTCTGTCTCGTAATATATATTTGTTTTCCTTTATGACTTTAGAAATTAAAAAAACTAAAAGAAGGACCGAAAGAAACGAAAGAAAGGTGGGACAAAATTATACAGGATGTCGAGCAAGAGGAAGAAGATATTGGGGAGAAAAAACAGCCTATAGCGGTGCAAGATGAGAAAGATTTTGTTCAAAACATAAGCGTGGAATGGACGGAAAACGGTAACTGTGTCCATGTGGAAAAGGATACCAAGTTCTTATTTCACTTACTACAAATTGGTATAGTATATTTTTAAACATTATCAGTACTCTTAGTCTATCGTTTCAAACAATATTATCAGTAATGTTTCAAACAGTCGATGATAACCGATTTCAAAATATACGTGCACACAAACTTGTATACAATCTTTATATAAAGAATCTTTTTATATATATATATATATATATATATATATATATATANTGTGAGTTAGAAAAGAAGGAAAATGGGTGCAAACTTCACCTTATAAGTTGGTTTTGTAGAATTAAGTTAAATTTAAAGTCCACTTCTTAACAGAAAACTTAGTTACAATTTACAAACAAGTAGAGTAATTAACTTGTTAGCTGTAGAAATTAATTAGATATAAATATGGTGAATTAAAGGAAAAATGTTTATTCTATTTGATTATAATTTGTGGATTGAGATTTTGCTCTTTGGTAGAGGAAAAATCCTTTGTGTTGGTGAAAGGTCTCTATCCTAATATTCTCAGCAAAATTTCTCTTTTCTTTTTGACATTTATCCTTGGTAACATCAGTTGTCTTTTCTGATCTTGAAAGTGTTGTAATTATGCAGTAAAACAGAAGCCACAAATTTGGATCCTGCATCTTCACATAGGACAGTCACTGAGCCTAGAATCATTGTGCAAACAACCAGTGAAGTTGATCTTTTAGATGATGGTTACAGATGGCGAAAATATGGGCAGAAAGTTGTCAAAGGAAACCCTTATCCGAGGTGCTATTGCATCTCCTCCATACTTTGTTGCATTCATCGAACTATTCATGACTGTTAAACAAGTTAAAAAATTATCCATCAAAGGAAAATGCTCAATTTTTCCAATTATATTCACTGCATCACATCATATTGACCTCATCATTAAGCTTGTCTAGTCTAATGCTGAATCTAGCATATATCATGTGTAGGAGCTATTACAAATGTACAACACCAGGTTGTAAAGTCCGAAAGCATGTTGAGAGGGCTTCAACAGATCCTAAAGCTGTCATAACAACATATGAAGGAAAACACAATCATGATGTTCCAGCTGCTAAGACCAGCAGCCATGTTATGGCAAGTAACAACACTGCACAGATAAAATCACAGAATTCCAATCATGGAAAACAAAGTATTGGCAGCAGAGATATTGGAGGCAATGAGCAACAGCCGGTTGCACGGCTAAGGTTGAAGGAAGAGCAGATAACCTAGTGTGTGCTGTAAGAACTTGCTTCTATTTAGGAAAAGTGTGTATCACTCAACAAATCATCTTTGTTTTCATGCTCATTGCATTCTTTTTAAGTCTTAGGCCTAAGTTTTGATCATGGCCTATCAGTGCAATCCCTAATAAACAAATGGTTCAACACTTTTCTCTTCCAGTCTTCTCCCACAACCACATCATGATGAAAGAGGTAAGGACAAAAAACAAAGGGTTTATTTGCACAGTGAAAACAGGTTTTGGATGATTATGTACTATTTGTATCATTTGTGTACATTGAAAATTTATGTTATGTTGTTTAATATAGCTGGTCATCATTTCATAGTGTAATCCTTGTTATTTAATATTTGTTTTTTCAAGAATGTGAAATTTTTGGACCATGATGAGGTAAGTGTAAGCTAGTAAAGATTGAGATTATGATTATGATTGCTTTGATTTGGTTCATGCAAGGTTGTGGTCGTACTGGTATAGTCAGTGAAGTGATTTGTTGGCAGTGGGTTTGGATATGAATATGAGAGATGAAAGAGATTAAAATCTAACCTACAAAAAAAATCCCAGCAAATAAGTACCCACCACCCCATGTAACCTACAAATACTAAATTTGCCATTAGCTAATCTAATGCAATTAACACATGGGACCACATTACTCAATTAAGTTAAAAATAAATATAAAAAAAAATAAATTATCAATTTAAATATAGAATTAAATTACTAATTACGTTTTTTTTAATTTTTAATTGGGTTTGCATTTTTGTTTTGATTGATATTTTGGTGACGCAAAAAATTTAATAAGTGTAAACAAGGTAGGTTCTTAGAAAAATAAAGAGTAAACAATTTTTTTACTCTTTCACATTTAATGTCAAAAGGTTATAGAAATAAACCAGAATTGATATATAATAAGTATGACTTATCATAGAAATAAACCAGAAAAAAGGTTATATAATAAGTATGACTTATAAGATTGATATTGCAAAAACGAACAAATCTATCACACATATTAGGCATCAAAATTTTAGTTTATGATTGTTTTTGGAAAGTAATTTGACAGACTTCTCACAAGTTGAACAGCAGAACAAAAGTTGGATTATCAGCAAATCTGTTTTATTTTTCAAGCTAAAACATTATATTTTAAAGAAACAAATACAAATACATATATATCACTTACGTAAGTTAATTTTAATTTAAAAAAGCTATTTTCACATTTAAAAATATCAATAAAAAAAAGTTCTTTCAGCATAACAAGTCAAAATAATTGGTTCTCATATGTTTACCCCACTCCTCCCCATCACTATATAGTTGGTAAACCTTTATTCAAAAAAACTATTATTTAACATTAATAGACTATTTAAACAGCAATGAAATATTAATAGAATTTGTTTACCGATAAAATATATTTTAAATTATTTAGAAAATTTTCAAATTCAGTTTTCGTAATCTAAATTTGGTGCTTGTTTAAATTAGAAATATTTCTCTCTAAAGGTGATTATAATTAACATTTAATGATGCTCAGATATTTCTAAAATTAAGGTAATATTTTGAGAAAATTATAACTGAATTTAGAAAGTTGTACAGAGATTAAAAACTATCATTTACTAGTTGTTTAAATAATTGATAACTAACTAGTTAATTAATCATATATAAAGACGACATACACACTCTGAAAGATTTATAATGTTTAAGTTTAGTATTAAAGAACAAAAGTACGGATTTTGGCAATCTCCTCGAATAAATTTATAATTTTGTAATTTCAAATACTAAATTTTATACTTATTTTATCATCATTATAGTGTGTCAAGGGTTACTATATTTATCATGATTATATTATGTCTAGGATTATCCTATTTATCATGATTATATTGTGATATTTATCTTATTTTATCATCATTATAGTGTGTTAAGGGTTATCCTATTTATCATGATTATATTATGTCTAGGATTACCCTATTTATCATGATTATATTGTGATATTTATCTTATTTTATCATCATTATAGTGTGTCAGGGGTTACCTATTTATCATGATTATATTATGTCTAGGATTACCCTATTTATCATGATTATATTGTGTCTAAGGTTACCCTATTTATCATGTACTTGTGTATCAATTTATTCTTATAAATAGAAGATTGTGAGAGGGATCAATCAAGCCCTCTAGAATTATTTATCATCATTATAGTGTGTCAAGGGTTATCCTATTTATCATGATTATATTATGTCTAGGATTACCCTATTTATCATGATTATATTGTGTCTAAGGTTATCCTATTTATCATGTACTTGTGTATCAATTTATTCTTATAAATAGAAGATTGTGAGAGGGATCAATCAAGCCCTCTAGAATTATTTTACAGTTTCAATCTTAAGTTGGTATCAGAGCGGGACCCGCTCTGGTTTCTGTCTCGTAATATATATTTGTTTTCCTTTATGACTTTAGAAATTAAAAAAACTAAAAGAAGGACCGAAAGAAACGAAAGAAAGGTGGGACAAAATTATACAGGATGTCGAGCAAGAGGAAGAAGATATTGGGGAGAAAAAACAGCCTATAGCGGTGCAAGATGAGAAAGATTTTGTTCAAAACATAAGCGTGGAATGGACGGAAAACGGTAACTGTGTCCATGTGGAAAAGGATACCAAGTTCTTATTTCACTTACTACAAATTGGTATAGTATATTTTTAAACATTATCAGTACTCTTAGTCTATCGTTTCAAACAATATTATCAGTAATGTTTCAAACAGTCGATGATAACCGATTTCAAAATATACGTGCACACAAACTTGTATACAATCTTTATATAAAGAATCTTTTTATATATATATATATATATATATATATATATATATATATATAACCTAGACGTGTAGCTGCTGTCACTGTGGCAAAAAGAGTTGCTGAGGGGTGTGGTGTTGAATTGGGTCAGAAGGTTGGGTATTCTGTTAGACATAGTTCTCTTTAGTTGCCTCAACTTTTAAAATATTATAAAATAACATAAGAGTTCAAATTCAATAAATTTTAAAGCCCCAAAATGTAGAATTTAATGTAACTAGAATCATTAAAAAACTAATATTTACAGAGAATATTACAACCAAAATAATGAACAAAGTCATATAAGAAAAATAAAAAATTAAATCAAACATGTAAAATAAATCCAATTTATTAATAATGAATGGAAATAGTTTAAAATCTAACATATGAAAGATATTGAGAATATTATATAATAAAACTATATATATATAATATGGTTATCAAAACCATGTTTTCTTCTCTCTATTAGTGTTTCTATAATAGATTTAGGTCTAAATCTTAAAAAACTAAAAAGAAAACAAAACAAAAAATACTGCTAAATAAATGATGTTTTTGTGAAATGGAATTTTAATTTTAATTATAAAAGATAAAGAATAATACTTTTATAAAGAAAATAATGTTACTTTAATAAATTACATTAACAACTAATATATCTAGTGTTATTCTAAAAAAATAAATTATAATGATTTTAAAATAAAAATATATAAAATTAATCAACTCTTATATTTAAATTCTGAAAAAACTTTTTAATGAAATTTCCTCCATTGAAATATACTAAATGACACTTACGTCATTGTTTGGTTTTACGAATAGCATTTACAATCTTCGAGCGTCTTATGTACTAACAAAAACATGCGAGCTGTTGTGTGAGCGCTATGTCGCGGCATCACTGTTTGGTTGTCGATCATCAAGTGGTCGACATCAACCTGTAAATGATACGAACGTAAGAAAGCCCAGTGAACGGTCGCTTGGGTTATTTGTCGACCGTTAGTGGATTCAGGTATCCTACGGTACATGCCCCCCGAGTCCGAGTAACGAGCGCAAATTTTGCTTGCGAGTTTACTAAAGGACGTTGAGTGGTGACTTATTGGGGAAATGATACGCACATTTTTGACGTTAGAATTTTTAGGGTTTTCCCGCTTTTTTGGGGAAGCGAAGAGACATGAAAAGGCAGCCGTTGGATTAAAATGGATCCTACGGCGCATGACGATTAAACTTCCTGCCTTCTTCAACACGATTCAGAAAGAAGGTTTTCACTTTTGCTGAAGAAAGAAGTTGGTATTGTGTGCTGCAAGTGAAAGCCTCTTTTCAACACCTCTGATTATGCTACCTCAAGAATCTGCCAGGTAACCCTTAAGCCTTCCTTCGTCTTAGTGCATTTACTGCTGATAATGGAAGAAAAGGGGCATAACACCGGTGACAATATACCGGGGCCGTCGTCAACGACGAAACGCCCTGAAATCACCACTGTTCCTTGTGGTGACGATGCCTTTGTGTATGGGAACGTGTGTGGTGAGGGTCCAGAGGAGCGTGTAACGTTTTCGGTTAGCGGTGATGATTACGCCTGGGCGGCGCGTGAAGTGAAGGAACATAGGAGTCTGTTTATGAGTAGGGCAGTGCTAGTAAATTGGATTGAGAATAGTTGCATTTTGAGAACCCTAGGGTACCAAACGTGTGTGAGGTTGGTAGCTTGACGGGAGGATGAGAGGGTGTGCCATGGGAGGGAGAATGCTCCAAGTGAATTCTTTTATTGTTATGCTTCGCCGTTTTACGATCTGTATCTGAGATTGCCTTTCACCACTTTCCAAATGGATGTGTTAAGGACCCTGAATGTCGCGCCTAGTCAATTGCATCCCAACAGTTGGGGGTATATGCAGGTGTTTGTCGTGTTGTGTCGGTCGGGCCTTAGGAATTAGGCCTACTGTGGGACTGTTTTTGTACTTTTTTAGATGTCGACCGGTTGCGAAGAAGGGTTGGGTATCGCTAATCTCCGAGCCGGGTAATGCTCTTCTAGAGCTTTACCTGCAATTCTGGACGGAGGTTCTTTTTCGATGGTGAGAGAAGCCCCAAGTTCCCATTGTACTGGACGTAGGATCCGTTGAGGTTCACCTCTTGGTCAGAGGATAAAATGACGATTGAAGAGTTAGAGGCCCTGAATGTGTTGACGTCGTTGCCACGCCCCTTTTCTTCCCGTCAGCTTATAAACTGCCTTGAGTTCGACGACGCTGATTCGAGGGTGTTTGGTATGTTTCCTTGCTTGTTATTTTGATCTGTTGCTTTGTTGTTGTTGACTGTTCTGGATTGACCTTTGTTTCGCAGAGATAATGGGGAGAAAAGGAAGCGTCCGAAATTGGTTTCACTCCATCGACACCGAGAAGGCTGAAGGTGACCTTCCAAGGTCCTCATCCAAACGTACGCAAGATCAACCGCGTGCACAAGTTCCACCACCTGGTCGTATCATGCTCTCGGTGTCGACTGATGAAACAACGGTCGCCAAAGAGCAACCCTTGGTACGAAAAAGGAGAGGGAAGGCGGTCGACACTAGTGGCGCTGTGTCGAAGAAGAGGAAAGAGACCGCAGATGAGACAGAGCGTCCCCTCCCCCACGGCGTATGGGACCCCTCCTTCACGTTGAGCCTTAAGGTCGAGCTCAACCTGGATAACTCGGAGAAGAGGGTGGTAGAAAACATGACCGAGCAACAAATGGCCGACGCCATGTTGGAGATGACGACCCGGGCCCAAATGTTAGCTTGGCATATGGCATATGCTTCTGATAGGGGTGTGCTGCGGGTTGAACTGGACAAGGCGCAGACTCAGCTGAAGGAGCTTATTGAGGCGCATGCCCTCTGTGATTCAAAACAGAAACGGTCAGAGCAATTGCTAAGAGAGGCTAAGATGTTGCTGAATGACGCCCGAGACGCTGGCCTGGCTTTGAGAAAGGAGCGCGATCAAGCGTCGCACGAGCTGGAACAGGCCAAGAAGACTGTGGCGGCGTTGACCAAGGAGAGGGATGCCATGCGGGCGGAAGCGATGGAGAACACAGAGTTAATAGGAGAACTGAAGGAGGCGGTATTTATTGAACATACCCGGGGCTTCCGGAAGGCTTTGAGGCAGGTCGGACATCTGCTTGATGTGTCGACCGAGGGAATGAATTTTGACGTTCGGAAGGACGTGTATGAAGGCCAACTGAAGCCTCTTAGCGAAATTCCTGATGATGCTTTTATGGAAGCGGAAGAGGATGAAGAGGAAGAGGCAGTCGCTGACGAAGAGCATGATGGAGCAGTCGCCGTGGATGAACCGACTGTGGAGACGGTCGGAGATGCTGCTGGCGACTCGCCTAATATTGTAATAGACTAGATCAGCTTATGGGGATGTAAATATAAACATACATGTTTTATACTTAAAGTTTTTCAAATAATTCATAAAAGCATACCAGAACATATTGCAAAGCAGAGTACAATATAACGGCTTTTAGATTAGAAATTTTTTTGCAAGTATTAGATTTCTACATAACAATAAAAATGCCAAATCTAAGGACTCATTTTCTTTCAAATATTTTCATCAGGCAAAATTCCATGTAGCCAGGCTTTGCAGTGAATTCTGTGGAGACAGAATGATATAACCATTACACTCCTACTAACAAAGAACTTTCGAATTCTTATCATGAATATCTCTCAACTTGTAAACTCTTATCATAAATAACTCATCATCACATTAAACATGAAGGCGTTGATAATCCTTTGTGTCCTTTAGCTAGTGGTGGTAGTCTGGTGGATAGTGCTTACCCTCAAGAAGCATTGGCATTTGGTGTGCACAAAAAACGTAACCGCTTTTCAACCACTAAAGAATAACCTTTCATAACTAGGATTTAAATATTGCTACTCGTATGACTAAATTGATCACTGGATTCTTTGTAGCAGCTTTTCAACCATTATTCTCTGCTGAGCATCACTCAGTGTCTCTGAATTCATGATCGCATTAGCTACGATAATAGTTGTTTGTGGAGATGCTGCCTTGACCTGAATGGAACAATTCAAAAGAAAAGCTGAAACTAAGAGAATGAAATTTCCTCCAACTTCAACTCAAATGATGGTGAAGCATAGATTTCATACCGAGCCATGTCCGTTTAAAAATAAACAAAGAAAAAGAACAAGATATGGCACACTAAAAATAGTGAGTGTTTGCATACCCAAACACGTCCATTTAAGCCAACTGCGATCTCAAAGGAAATTTTCTTCCCTAAAGCATCAAGAACTGGACACGTGGGTGAGCTGAGAAGCCTAGAAACACAATCTCTCGTGTCAGTATCTGTTCATGTTATGCATGAACAAAAATTAAAAACCACTGGCATACCTCCTTGAGAGACCCGTTGTACACTCAAACATATAGCCATCTTTTAGAGCACCAAATTCTGCGGCTTTCCCAGTAGCTGAACAAACACCAAAACAAAATAAAAGGCAGAGTTAAGTCTGCAAAAATTAATACAGAAATAAATTTAAACTTAAGTAACAAAAAAAACACAAGAGGCACAAGGAAAAAATTGTCGAGATAAAACACCTACCATCAGTGCATGACAACTCTGGATTCATTCCAGGGTTTGCTTTAACAACCCGCACGTAAAGCAAAGTACCTATCTGCAAGTGATGCATTAGGCAAAAGAAATTACAACATACAGAAATGTGATAAACCAACCAGACAAAACATGGCTAAATAACCAGATGAGAACAAGTTGCTAGTTTGACATCCAAAATCAAAAGAGGAAAACAAAAATGTATATGAATTTTACTCTTCACGTTTTACAAGAATTAATTACAAAATACACTTCCAAAAGACTTGGTTAGGTTAACCAAGGTGATCTGTGGCAGTAGCAAAGTTCATTAATGGAAATAGCACCCACTACTTCATAGTCCTAATCACACCCTAATCGATAATAGAAAAAGAAAAACTGTTTGTTAGAATTCATGCGAAAGAGGAGAGAACCTAGCCCAAAATACTAGTCCATTAGGTGAGAGTCCCAAGGCTTAAGTACTAAGCCAAGTAGTTCATCCTATTTAATGCGGAACGCCTAACATTACTACCCTCATTAAGGGCATGCCCATGACCACTTTAACTTTATCGAACTGTGCCTTTATATCTATGAAATGAAATCACTGATCTATCGTTATTGCTAGGACCAACTGTTTGCACCTTAATCCAGACTACAAACAGCCTTTGTCATAGTCCAACTCTAACGTATGCACCAATTGTTAGCACTTAAGAACAAGAAGAAACCCCCAATATTTTATTAGATGGGAGAGTCTCAAGGTACCACATCAAGTAGCTCATCATACTTACTTTGGGACTATTAACAGTTTTCCTGACTTGTTCTTCTTCCATATCCAATAAATCCAACGAATCTGGCAAACCACATGGAGCTGCAACTTGTCTTATTGTTTGGACGAACTTTTGTATCCTTTCACCTCCTAATGCATAATTCATGCCAAAATCTACTTAAAACCTAATACTCCACATCTGCCATCAATACTGATCTGAGCCTGGACACCCTGAAATTACTTTTTTTTTTCTAGGAAGCACTCCCTTTCGAGCATCCAGAATGCACTCTCTTTTTCTCTTAAATGATAATGTCTCAATCGTCCTAGCAATCTTATCTAGAAGGGTGAGAAATTTAGTTAAATGATAACTAGGAAATCTTTTAACCTATAAAGGCAATCTTTTATTTTTAATCATACTAGCCAAAGTTACCAGTGCCTCCAATTGGTGACACCAATCTTCTAATGGTCCATGGTTCAATGCCTAATACTGATCTCCTTCACCTATATCTAATTATTTACATTAATAACTGATGACCAAAAAATGAACCTTCTATTTTACTTTTGGTACACAGCAACAAACTCCTAAATTTCTCAATAACCATCGTGATTTCCAAATACCAACAGAAAGTTGCAGTGATTTGAGGTAGACAACGCTACGACAGAAAGAAATAATTATGAATGTGTAATCTTTATATATATTATGAATAAAAATGTTTCTATATTTCATCAAGATACGTTTCCAACCTGCAGACAAAGAGATGAAACGGACAAATTGAAACTAAAAAAATAGTATTGCATTATTTTACATCTGCATGAAATACATCAAAAATAATTTATACACACCTCAAACTTAGGTATATTTCTTCTAGTTCCTCCTTCAAATGCAAGCACCGGTAAAAATGCTATAGCTGGTCCTTTTATGTCCACAAGAAAGTTCTACACAAATAAATTGAAATTTTTATAGAAAAAAAACCTAGATTTAGATGAGAACAAATTTTAACTATTTTCAAGCAACTAAAAAAAGTACAATAAATGGCACAGAACCAAGCAATCCATTCATTTTGTATTACAAGGGTAAATTCCTTTTTAATACTTCAACTAACATTTACATGATATTAGTTAAGATGAAGCCACCTTTGATTATAAACACGACTTTGTAGAAAGTCTTAGAATTTGGATCTCAATCCCACAAAATCAATTTGTAAGATGGGACATGCACTTTACTTATATTCTATATTTTAACTAAATCACTGGTTGATGTTGGACTACACCACTCTTGAGGCTGCAATTATGACAACGCCAAAGAGACTGCAACTAAGGCAGGTTAGGTGTGAGTGCAGTTAAGACAATTGTCCAACAAAAAGAAAGCAAGTAAACAAGAGAGAAAGCAAAATCATAAACAATCCTATTAGCCTCTTGCTTTTTCCGTTTCTCTATTACTTGTGTTCCTGGACTGTTTTCTTGACATGTGTCTTTACAGGAAAAAACTAATGGTTTTGACGAAGGGTAATGCCACCCTGTCATGGCTAATTCTCTTTTTCAGTCTTTAGTCCTCATTAACAACTTAAGACAATTAAATAATTACGTAAAACTTGAAGCAAGCAAGAAAGCTTGAAAGAAAAAAATTAAAAAATTCCTTACATCTGATCTGGAGTCCGCAACAATTCCAAGTACAGAATCCTCCGCATGCGGCACATACTGAAAAAAAAAAACTGAAAAAGATCAGAGTATGGACGAAAAAAGATAGCACTGCTCACTAGAAACATTAAAATCCTACTCCTTACAAAGAAAAATTGCATAACATAATCCAAAGCTGAAAATAGAAAATGAAATTTATACGCATTAAAAAATAGTTTTCTGCAAGAATACAAACTGTCATTCACCTTAACCGCAAGAACTTAATTCCCAAATAATATTGAATATGTATAAAACTATGAACTGAAATGGAAGAAAGTGCTCAAAGCTACAAACATTTAGCCTAATTTCATGATTGCAATTAAAAATTTACTTAATTCAAGAGGCCATAAAACAGACCCAAAGCCAACATAGGTAAAGGTTTTCCACAAATTTCATGACGGACACTACCTTCCATATGTGATAACAAACAAATTTTGACACTAACAAATGACATTACACTGAAAACCAAAACAATTGATTTGAGGATATTATTCATTTTTGGGTTTAGCCATCTTTTTCTAGATTAAAATCATACTAGCCCTTTCTACTAAAATTTCCCCACTAGTCCATGTAAGATGAGCACATGTTTTTTTTTGAAGTAGTTTATTTACTTCTATTTGACAGTAAATTCATATAGCACCAAGAAAGAAGCATATTAACCAGTAGCAATGAAAAATCAGTATCGGCCAATACCCAAAGCCATGCCTTTACAGATTAATACGTGGATCATGACCGCAGCATCATACTCACCCTCTTCTGAGAATTTTCAACCCAGTATTTATTGGGTTTTGAGAACCTTAGTTTGCCAGCCTTCATTACGGAAATTGCATCGCACTCCTAGAAAATTCAGAGACGATGATCAATATTATTAACAGGAATGAACAGAATAAACAAAATGCAAGAACTATCATCATCTATAATCTCCTTTTTGTTTATAAGATGCTAAATGAGATCAGTCGACAAATACAAAATCAAAAGCAAGACACGTTGAAATTTTACGCAAATGAAAATTGAGTGCCTAATTACATCGACACTAAACAGAAGAAGAACTCAAGAGAGCTAGTATATGTAACGTGTCTAGCATGCCTATAAACTATAAAAACAAGTATGAAGGTAAGGCATCCTAAAATGGGTTATAGGTTGATAAGCACCCAAAAGACGAAAAATCGTCTTTTCAAATGGATAAGAACAAAAACATTTAAGAACTCCACGGAGCATGTTGTATTACTTTGTGTGAGACTTCAGCACCCGATAAGTCTCTATCATTGTAAAAAATTATTTGTGTGTGCAAGTGAGAGACAGGAATGCAAATGTCAAATTGCGAATGAATGTCCTAAATTTTAAAAGAACCAAAGACCTACCTGTCGTAGACCACCTCCAAGTTTAATTGTCTGGTTTGTCATGCTAGACAGGTCAAGAACCACATCTCCAGGACACTATACAATCATTGCATAAATAATTAGCATAGAAAGCAATGCTCAGTGTCGTATCCATACCTAACAGAGATTAACAAGGACTTGAACAAGGGCAAACACTCACCACTAATTGGTCCACGAAATTTGCAGAGGAACTGGAGGGTTTTGTTTCCATTTATTAGAGCAAAAAGGACGCGCTAGACAGAGAAGAAGTTCCAATCCAACAACTTGTAATTTGTACTGTGAAAACCATTCAAACATTCAAATGTAAGTTTTCACATTCCATCTAGCAACAAAAATTGTTCATTTCGACTTCACAAATTACATGAGTAAAACTATCATTCAATCACATCAAAGAACACAGAAAACCAATTCCATATGAAAAATTGCAAATGGTTGCAACAATGCCAGCAGAAATGTATCTTTTATACATTTTAAAACAATAACAGAATTGAAGATACCGAGAAGAGAAGAGAGCAGTGTTTGCTGCTTTGTATCAGTGTGCTCACTGCAAGCGAGTCGTAAAATAGGGTTTGGTTTTGATTCTTATTCGAAAATCGCAAAATTGAAAATCCCCCAGTTTAAACAGATACTCGGTATAGATTAAGAGGGTTTTTATAGAGAGGTTTTCTCTCATAATTATATCTCTTATTTAAGAGAATATTTTAGACATATCATACATATTGATAATACTTCTATATAATATTTGAAAAATATAATTTTCATAAATATTATTCAAAAGATAAAAAGAATTATATTTAATCTAATATACTAGTAGAGGTATATCACGAATAATTATATCTCTTATTTAAGAGAATATTTTAAACATATCATACATGTTGATAATATCTAAAAAATATAATTTTCATAAAAATATTATTCAAAGAGATAAAAAGAATTATATACCAATATCCCATATAATTTAATAAACCCGTAGAGGTATATCACAAAATATATCACATACATATTATATTAGTTGTAGTATCTATTAGAATATAGTCTAATAGAATTAAGGAAACACCACACATCCAATTAACTAGAACAATTTAATTAAAAGAAAAATGATATAAAAATACATTTACAGTTTTGCACTTTCAAATATTTTTTTTTTCTATATCTCTAATTTCCAAAAATAGTCTTCCAGATTACATTTTTATTTATCACATTTCGAAATTCGACGAAGAATTTTTTTTTCTTCAAATTATGAGAATCGAAGAAAGATTATTCAAAGACTTCATCGAATTTCAAAATCTGATGAAAAAAAATAAAAAATCCTTCATCAGATTTCGAAATCTGATGAAAAAAAAATCTATCGAATTTCGAAATCCGATGAAGCACGAAAAGTGGGGTGTAAGGTTTTTTGAATTATAGAGAGTAGTTTTGGACTTTTAAAAAAATTTGGAGGTGCAAAGTGAAATGATTTGAGGTGCAGGATGAAACAGCCTTATTGCACTCATGCTTTTAAAGTTGACACATTTCTACTTTTACAAGGAAAGCTTTTAAACAATAATCAATTTTAAAGATAAAAAATAATTGTTATTATAATAATTAATTTAAATACTTATTTATAAACTAAAAATAGTTTCTATGATGAATGAAAAACTATAATTAATTTATTAATTAGATTCTAAATTGATTGCTAATATTAGTTACCAAAGGAAGTCGTGTTTAAATTAATCTTTAATTAATTAGTGACCAATTTAGACGCTAATTTATTTGATAGACAAAACTTTGGTAATTAATGTTAATAACCAATTTGGAGTCTTATTTATAAAGTAATTATAATTATTTATTCATATTACAGACTATTTTTGTAAAACTATATTTTAGTAGAATAAACTATAAAAATAAAACATTGCATAGATGATAACTTACCAGAAACTGCAGACTACCGATAGAGAAGATTTTACACTTGGAAGACAAAACTATATCTATGTTGTTGTTTCACTCTCAACCTCACGCTGAAACGACTGAAAAGACGACATCCCTAAGCTCACACCATTTAAGGTTATCGCAAAAGAGAAAACACATATACACAAACAAAGACAAAAGCAAAGGTAAGCTAGATTCAAACAATTAATGATATATTTAAACATTTTAAACATTACACATGATACACATATCACATCAACCAAACAAACACTTTATGCATGACAACACTTTGACTGGACTGTCTAGACTTAGAATGAATGTCGAACTATGATAGGTTGTGCACTTTTAGTGGCCTCTACTACTTTATAAAGTAATTCCCAATGGGTTTCACCCTACCACACTCACAAGATTAGTCTGTTCCACACCGTGGATCATACTAAAAGCACCCAACACTAAGATCTCATGTTACTCTCACCACATGTGTCAAACCTCTCTACTTGAGAATGAATGACCATTAGAATGTCAGGACAATCCCTAAGACTAAGCTTCATGCATTCATTCTAACAACACTTGAAACCACATTAAGAAGTTTCACCTTGAAACATTGATATCACTTCACCTTTACATTGAATTCATTTGAAACCATATACATATATCCCTTCACTCTCATATTGCATACCAACATATGGAAACTAATAATAAAATTGTTTAGGATCATAAAAGAACAATGAAAAACATAAATCATATGTGTACAAGTGAATTTGGTTTAGATTAGTCAAAACTTCATATTAGTGGTGATATTAATCAATTATATGGATAATATAATCTATTAAGGTAAGCCAGAACTCACATAAAACAAAACATGATAAAACTGTCTATTTTAATCTATTATGTTATTAACATAATCTATTAGAGTATAGTTTCTCTTTTAATCTATTATGTTATTAAAATAATTTATTAGACTGTAGTTTCTATTTTAATATGTTATGTTATTAACATAATCTATTATATTGTAGTTTCTCTTTTAATCTATTATGATATTGACATAATTTATTAGATTGTAGTTTCTATTTTAATCTATTATGTTATTAACATAATATATTAGACTGTAGTTTATGTTTTAATCTATTTTGTTATTAACATAATCTATTAGACTGTAGTTTCTGTTTTAATCTATTATGTTATTAACATAATCTATTAGACTGTAGTTTCCGTTTTATCTATTATGTTATTAACCTAATCGATTAAAACTAGAAACTATGGTCAAATTAATTTTTATGACTTTGAACACTTTTTCCTACAACTTTAATCAATCCCTAGGACTTTCTAGACATTGAGAAATACCTAAACAACACTATAACTCCAAATTGCTACTTTAAACCCAAAATCACCCATCTAAGCTACCCCAAAACTAATTTTACACATTCCAACACCCATATCAGTTCACCAACTGCATAACCAAATCTAAATATACTTATTAGCACACCTCAACACCTCAAATTACTCATAGCCCTAATGTTTCAAGTTCTCACTATGTAAAACCTCAAAATTTGACTAAAAATACCTAAGAACTCACTCTAAGATGACTCTAACAGTTTTACACCAGATTTTCCTCATTTAAAACTCGAGATAATTCATAATAGATCTAATAATATACTTCCAACTTCCCAAGATATTTTACCATCATTGCTTCAAAATCTCACCACCCAAAACCTCTCTTTTGCACTTAAAACATTCCAAAACTACAACCATAAACTACTCCTTTATTACATATAAGATTTAACTCAAAGAACACTTCTAACAAGTCTCAATTTACCTCATAACAGCCCTAAAACAATTTTTTTCCCACCTCAGTCCCTATTTCTCAAACTCACTTATCAAAACCTCTTCTTTTAACCTTAGCACTTGATGATTTGGTTACTCTTCACTCCAACCACTTTGAATTCAATATCAAACATCAATACACTTCATTATATACAATAATAATAGGAGAAGAATTACAAACACAACATACCAAACATTCAAACATCACTCAATCATTGATTATCATCTAAACATCAAGAAAATTTAGCACAAACCTAACAATTTCACTTAAATTATTATTAGTCGTAAAAATACAAAATTTACAAAGCAAATATATATTCTAAAGTAAAGTCTAGTTTCCCTTACTTTGCATCGAAGCCACTTAACTCTAAGAACGCTGAAACCCTTACTTTCGACTCAAGGAACTTTAGAAATGCCTACAAATCACGAAATCGTGATTGGAGTAAGTCTTTAGGACCACAAATTAACAAAGAACCAAGAATAGAGTACAATTGACACATGCGAAGGGATTCTTAACATGATCATAAACAGATAACAAAAGAAAAAAAAGCTGGAAGTTTACTTACTCTAAACCAAGAATTGATCGGTTAGAAATGAAGATGATTCCTTTATGATCTTATAGGAACTTCCTGATTGTCAAACAGATGATCAAGATTTAAAAATCCTTAGAGAGAAGGTAGAGAACTCTAGAAAAGTGCTTTTTAATATGTTTTAAAATAATGAAACTCAGTTTATAATAAAACTATTTATAAATAAATCATTTAACATTAAAATAATGGAGTCTCATTATTTCTGAAATTTTACAATTTTAAATATCAATAACTTTTAATTTATAATTAATATATAAATTAGTCATTATAATGACTAATTTTTTTTGTAACGAAAATTAGTTGATTTTTAAAGGTTTTCTTATAGTATAATCTCTTAAATATATATTTAAGGAAGTTGATCATATATTTCTACTTTTACTATTTATACTTATTTATACTTCTAAAAATAAGAAATAGAATTATACAATTATCCAATCTAAATAATACAAAATAGAGAAAATGATGGATTAATATTATCATTAAGAACCACTTATCTTAACATGTTTATTGTCATACCTCTATGTATAATATGTTTAATTATTTTTTGCTTTTTTCTTTTAAACTACGTATAATACGTCGAATTTTGTAGGAGTTTTGACATATTATTTTTTAGCCAAAAATTTTCGTTTTTTTTTAAATTTGAGCGGAAGATTGAAAATTCATTCACTTTATCTTAGTGCACGAGACTCTCTTCTCTTCTCAAACATTTCTCGAACGAAGTTTGATGACCATCACATGTAATCTTTCTTTCATTTTATACAAATGCAGGTTAATTAACTACTTTATGTATAATTTTCATTTGTTTTGACTGATTATTTTTGTGTTCTTGTTCTTCATAGGCGCATTATGCTTTCTGTCTCACGAGTGGAAACATTTTATAGTGACGAACCCACCTTTTGAAGGTTATAGTTTTCGTTTTCGTTTTGAAGAACTTGTTTGTTGTTGTTAGTTGATTGAACTTGTTTGTTGTTGTTGTTTGATTGAACTTGTTTGTTGTTTGTTATTGTTGTTTGTTGTTGATAATATACTACAAGTTCATAGTTAATGCTTTATAAAATACCAAAAACTGAAATTTGTTGTTTTTATGCTTTTCAAGTCAAGTCTCGTAGAGTTGTAAAAAAGACTACAATTAATTAAAAAAAAACAAAAACAATTGTTGAACGTCGAATATTAACAAAATTCGATGTCAATTTGATTAACGATGTCAATTTAAAATCTGATATGACGTCACCTCGAATTCGACGTGAAAGGTCATATTTTTGTACTACTACATGTTAAGATGTGAACTTTAAGCTACCTATATACTCTAAATTAAGTGTGTTTTAATTAAGTTTAA